GCATTCAATCGAGAAAACTGGGTAAAAGATTCCAGAAACAGTTTATTTCATGACAAATAAAACAGTAGCCGATGCACAGATGCCACTCGTCCACGAGATCACCGATGAACACGAAGCCCTTCTTGCGGCAGAGCTCCTGCAGGAGCCAGGTCACTTCTCTGTGCCGATCATTCTACACCTGGATCAAAGCACTCTGCCTGCGCTGACACTCCAACGAAAAGAACCTGTTCTCCCAACTCGGAAGAAAAAGCGATCTGCGTCGTCGGATTGCGTTCCAAGATTTGAGCGGCTAGCCGACGGTGCTTGTCAACGTACGCGCAGGCACAAACGCTGGTGTTGTTTGTGCCAAAATCGAGCAGGGCGTCAGACACTTCGAGAAGCAAAGCCTTGATCCTAATGTTACTAAACACCCGCACTTCGACAGCCACCCGGGTATTCAATGTGAAATACTGGGACAAGTATTTCAAAATCGAATCCCCGGCAACCAAAACTGCAGGCATATCAGAAGCGCGACCGTGTGAATACACAAAGTTTTCTTGACGAAGAAAACAATAAAATAAAAATAAAAACAACACTTCAGAGAAACCCGCTTGGGGAAGACCAGGCAGGAACAGCAGTCCGCGCACGGCAGGAGCGCAAGGAGCAATGGCCACCGAGCACAAGGCAAAACAATGGGAGACAAGACCGTAGGTTGATTGCTGCGTGGACGGAGACAAGACGGAAGGAGAACTGCTTCCGTCCACGCAAAAAAGTGACGTGGGCGCCGGAAGTGACGTAGTGCGTGGATGGAGCCTTATCTCCTCCCGACATGGCTACATCCCCGCGCGTGTATTTTGACACTCCCTTTATACATTCGTCACCCTCAGGACAGGTGGTCATACATGTCAGAGACAGTAAATGCACTCCTCTATTCAATCAAAACAAAAGTCCTCAATCGCTTTCGGGGCAAGAGAACCAGATAATTTTTTGAGGCAAAAACTATAAGAGAAAAAGGAGACAGGTCCATTAGCACACCATCAAGTTCACTGTCCGGGGAAGAGATAGAATACCTCAACCTTTTTTCTTAATCTGGCTGCTTTTCTATATTTTTTTCGGTCGGTCTCATTTTTCAATTTAATTTTGCTTATGTTTATCAAAAAATTTTTAAACATTTTTTTGTGTGAATGCAATTAGCATTTTGATTTACAATTTCTCTTCTCGTTTTCGTCTTTTTCTTATCATGCATTAAACAATCAGTTGTTAGTAAAGCGCTTGTCCTGTTCATATATTTGTTCTGTCCTTGTCATTTGAGTTTTTGTAATTAAGATGTTTACCCAACTAGCCCAACCGTTAACTTTAATATAACTAAAAAGTTTTAGATGCTATATTCTCTCGAATTAGGGTCGCTAGCATGCTCCCGGGGGAAAAAAAATCTGAGACTCAAGTTGTAAGGATGGACTAGATTTCGGCACCAGGGGGGGGGGGGGGGGGGGAGGGGGGGGGGCAGACGATATTTTTTAATTCCCCGGCAGGTTTCGTTTTATTTTTTTTTTCGGGTGAGGGGTCTTTCGTCGCAAGCATTTCACCGATGGCGCGTTTCTCGTGTGTTTTTTGTTTTTTTTTGTTTAGCGGCAAAGGTAGTTATTTGCCGGCAAGCCTCTTCCGTGCTTACCGCGTTCCAACAGAGGCGCCGGGGTCCCACTGCACAGCAAACCCTACGGCTCTCGCCAGAGCTATCAGCCTGGCTTCGTTGCAGACTTCACCAATGTCAATGCCGACTATTCACATGTTTGTGTCATGCGTCTTCGTAAAATTTGAAACAATCAACTAACTTTTGCCCGAGGGCAAAGATGTTGATGCCCCCAAAAGCCCGTATCCGGGAGAGAAAAAGCGATTTTGGCTTTGGTCCTGACCCCGTAACGAGTTCACCTGGAGTTCCCTGCTTTGTACATAAGGATCATATATGTTCATTGCTTATACCAAAAGTATTCGTGCAAATTAAGTATAAACAATCGGTTTGCACTGTACGATCACAAAGCTTCAGTCGTACTCCTCCAACTCACCGAAGAACTCCTCGATCATCGGCCTGCAGTAAACCGCGGGTCAATAGGAAAATAACCATCTTTAATCAAGTGTTTATGTCTCATTACTAATAATGATCAAAATTTCGATCCATCACCTTGCCCGAGATACAACCTCACGTCGCAATACACGTTTTAATCATTGAAGGCGTTTACCGCCGTACCAAAGAACCAACGTTTTTCCTGTTTTGTTTTGGGAGAACAATAATAGAAACGTACTGTCTATCAATATACACTGTTGAAGCCTTAACAACTGATATATTTTATGCGAAGTTATTTCGAATACCATGTCGGTTCATGGTGCGATGTGTCTTTGCCATAGAGCTTTGTATCCACTCATGGTATATTGCTCGAACGGACCCGCAGTAGGTAACATAAATAAACTCTGCAAAGATATAAAAATTAAAACACAAATTCTTTCGTTGACTTAAAATTACTCATTCATAGATGCGCTAGTTTTACTCATGCACAGCACAACCTGAATACGTCGCACGCTTAATTGCAACTTTACTAAATAGACAAAATTTAAACGTGCACGCCTCCGGGACTATCAAAGCGGAGGTGCGAGAAAAATACTCTGCAAAGTAGTCAATTTGAATGACATCGTTCGTAAAGAAGCGCCTTTTAAGGTAACATCCTTTGTTTTACACTTTAGGAGTGTAAATCAGCTTGTCCCAGGGCTAGCACTCTAGGAGATGTTTTGCAGGAGTAACGAGTTTAAAAGCACGCGGAACATTGAGGTATTTTTCACATGCACGGAAACGGCAAATAGAGACCTGATGGGTCACTCACGAGGGAATCGTCATGCTCCTTTTAACTGTTCCAGCTCCTTACTAACTCGACAATTCAATGATAGTCATTTGCATTTGCTCCGTCTCTGCAATCATAAATATCGTACGTATTTTGCTTTATTCTCGTCAATATTTGGCGTAATGCATAGTATATCTAAGTTCAAAGAATGTATCTTCAAGTAAAACATAAAAGTGTAAAAGCTGAGGCAAAAAAATAGATTTTCGCTAAAATAACTTTTTGACTAAACCGGATGTCAGGATGGCGAACACCTTTAAAAATAAGTGTATGCTAGCCGCCTTATTGTTATATTTCTTGAAGGGTGTAAAAGAGTTTTGAAAAAGTTTTCTACTGTGAAGCAGTAGCAAACTTCACAGTAGCAAACTTTTTCAAAACTCTTTTACACCCTTCAAGAAATATACGGTGTTTAATGCAAGAACACCCTATTTTAGGATCGAAATGTTGTATTAGGTCAGATTAAAAGTGCTAAAACAATGTAGTCATGCGTGTAAGACTCTGGAGCTTCGCCTGTACACGTTTAAGTATCTCATTTTTGTTGTGTGTAAGCATGTAAATGCATCATTCCCACCGAGTCTAATATAAATGAATGCGAAGGTCAGATAAGGCGGTTAGCCAATTATTCGGCTCAAGGACGTCGGCGCATTAGAGGAAGTGATCTGCTCATTATCTGTTTTTACTGCCGCTTTCCGCGGCTTTTTATGGGCCAGTACAGAAACCCACACATTACGCAAACGGCGCTAAGGCATCAGGGTTCAACGCAGGTAACGGAGTGAAAACGTGCCTTAAGGATGGGGACACACAGAACTTGAAATAATACACCGCAGTCAAACTTGCTTACGGAATATTTAGTAATGTTTATCTGCACATTTTCTAGAATTATACGTTTTGCTTATCAGGCAAGCAGCCCACGTCTGTGACACGTTTTAAAAATATATAAAGCGAACTGTCCGGTAAACTTCAAAAACGTCGCGGTCACATTACAAGCTAGAAAGCAGCAAAATTCACAATTCCTTCATGGCCAAGTGAAAGATAGGAAAAGAAAACCGAAACTGATCATGCCACTAAAAAAAAACTCTTCTGCTGCTTCCTTGTGCGCTTTTATGCTTGCCTAGTATTTCTTTACTCGGTTTCAATGCATAATTTCTGAACATGTTAAAAACCCAAGACCGATAAGGAAAAAGGCAATTAAGCTCACACATACATGCCTCAAACTCGGCTGCGATATATATTTCCCTTCCTAGGCTTACAAAAAAAAAAAAAAAACGATTTCAAATTTGCGAAGTGAGTCATTGCAATGTAAAAGTTTACCTGCACGCCTGTACCTTCTTCGTTAGTTCTAAGAGTTTCTCGTTCATTTTGAATGAGTTCAATTTTGTTTGGAGAACACAGCCGTTCGCACAGGACGCGACTCCCTTTGTCTTTTAGCGAACACGATTTCGTGCCGCATGGGAACACCTGCAAAGTGCAATAGCGGCAAAGCAGATTCGAGGATGAGGCCTTCTGCGCCGATGCTTTGAACTAACTGTGGTGACCTCTCGTTGGGCTCACCTGAGGCTGCGAATAATGGCTTATCGGTGAGATTTTGTTCCTTCGTTATAGTACTTACAAACAGAAAAACAAAATCTTGCAACATTGGGGATCGGCAAACTTTTAAGTCCTAAAGCAATCGAAAGGGCGGCATGTATGCCATTACCACTAGGGCACGCTTCTGCAATCACGGGAAGGGGGGGGGGGGGGGGGGGGGGGACGTCAGACAATTAAACGTCGCGGTGCTTTAGTATGTTTTTTCATTTTTTTTTATTTACTTTTTTAAACTGGACCGCGTAAAACAGCGTCTTCCGTCTCAAGCTCTTAGCGTCTCGCGTGGGGTATAGCAGAGCCGGCACACTGTTCAGGGGCGTGTCTGTTTCATACACGCAAGTTTGCGCTACAGTTCTCCGGAAAACACTCGTTTTTCGCAGCATCCCCTGGCAAGGCAGAAAACTTACGGGACGGAGAATCTTGTCCACTACATATTGGAGGGAGTCGTGTTCTCTGCAAACAGTTCTAACAATCTAGGCTCCTATCGCACATAAAACTATCCCATTCTCCAGCGGTCGCACGCTCGCACAAAAAAGCCCGTCCACTCACCCACACCGTCGGAGTCCATGGTCGAGGCTATTAATGTTGTACGACCGGTTTCTCAGCAGCAAGCGCCTCCCCGAACACGTTGAGGGTCCCCCCGTTTACGGAGCGCCTAATCTTCTCTCCTTGGAGACGCGGTCGAGCACGCTCCAGATAGTGCGGCCGGCCGTCCACTGTCGCTACCGCTGCTCCGCCATCTCGGATGCAGTGCAGCGCGCTTGCCCCTTCCGATAACTCTCTCGGGCGGGGTCGCAGTGCCAAGCATTAGCGATCCTTATCGCTGCTCGTGGCTCTTGCTCCAGCGCGAGACTGCCGTTCGAGAGGACAGCGTATCGCGGACGGTCAATGTTTTTCGTACTGCAATGTCTTGGGTTTTATCTACGGCAAGTACCGCATCCCTCTGGAATAAAATGAGTGTATTCGGAAGAGGATTAAGAACTCAAAAGCTTTCAAATACTGTACCAGAAAATAAAGAATAAAACATTTAAGGGGGACAAACAGAGGCCATGGCCTCCGGGGTATTTCTCGCGCTGGCTGCGCTGCTCAGGCCATTGCATTTGCGCTGTGGAGACTGTTACTGCGGTGCGCTGGATGGCGCTCACAACCAGACCAAAGAATGCAAAGAATAGACGCAATTCATTATCTCCACCAATATCGCCGGTCTAGGGAACTTAGGAGCAGCGCGGAAATCTGCTCCCCGCCTCTCGCCGCAACACGCAGACTTTTGGCAAAGAAGAAGTTGATCGATATTTGAAGGTTCACCTTTTCGAAACGGGAGGGGTGTACAACAAACGCCCACAATGTTGTTTTTAAACAAAGTGCGCGTCCAATCATTTCAGCAAAAAAAAGCAGGAAGTCGAGTCAATCAAAATTAGAAAAACGAGTCAAAATATTGGTTCCCACTAAATAGTGATAGTGTGATATATTTCGGCTCAGGAGAGCCGCGGCGCTGCAGATAGGCAAGTAGCCTGCACGCGAAGACCCGCGGTGCAGCGTCCAACGATGATCAGAAGGTGTTTCGCAGATGAATTTTTAAAAGAAATGGTGATGATGGTTTCAATGAGCTAGGCTTGTGAACAAGGGTGAGGGGTAATGTTGCGGTTGAAGTTAGGCTCGCAGCGGTTTTCGCAGCAGGTGGTCTTCCTGGGGGCGCCATGGGCTGCTGACTCCTAGCAGGCCGGTCCCGAGCGTCCCTGGCGATGACTCCCTGCACGCCCGGCTCGCGGACGAGCCCCTGAATTTCCGGCGACGCAGGGAGTCCAGCACCCTCATCGTGGGGCTCCAGGGGTGCTATGTTGCGCTTTTTGGACTCCCAGGAGACTAGGAAGAGGGAAGTGACGTCAACGACACAGCAAACGCAGATTGGGTGTTGATTTCGTTTTCTTCTGTCAACATCCAATCTGCGTTTGCTGTGTCGTTGACGTCACTTCCCTCTTCCTAGTCTTCTGGGAGTCCAAAAAGCGCAACATAGCACCCCTGGGGTTGGCGCCGGTGTTGGCCAGGCGGCACTCTTCGCGAAAGCGGACTCTAAAGATTTCACCTTGCGGTCGAGCTTATAACCGAGCGGCGTGACCACCCAGTTGATCGATGACGTTGTGTGTGCCACTGGTCCGTCTTATTGTCTGGTAACGTGAAAAACACGCCTTATTCCCAGCTGGCCTCTTCTTCTTCCGATCTTTCATTCGTACCAATCAGCGAAACAGCGCAAAAACCAGAGCGGCGGATATAAATTACGAATCAACAAAAATCGACTTGCATTTCTCTATTCTGATGATGGGAACAGAAAAGATGCTATCGTCATGCCGCGGTCCCACACTTGACAGCGTGCTTTGAGGCGATTCTGTTTCCGTTTCTTGTTGAGTTCTGAGCACCGCATGCGTAATCTAGAAAACTGGCTCGGCTTGCTTTTTCTGGTGGGCAGCTGAGCGTTTGGACAGGCCGGAGCAGAGCGCGTGAAAGATATCTGAGGCCATGCACAGGCATACACCATTCCTTCGAAGAGCCAACAACATTTACTGATATTCATCACACTGGGAATGGACCTAGGGCAACGAGAAGAAAAGAAGATACGAAGACATTTTTTATTCCTTCAATTTTTTAGTTTTTTTGTTTTTTTGAGGGGGGGGGGGCGACATTCGACGATACATATGCTAAAAAATAATCAGTAAAGTTGAGGTAAAAATTCACAGGGTCTATTATGTTATATCCCTAAGACAACTTGAAGGCGAATACCCAAGCTCCGATGCATTAAATACAGACACATTATTTACTTTAACTGAATTAAACTAAGTTCCTCTTAATTAGCTTTGTCATTCTCCTTAATTTTATTGCCTCTAAATCGCCTGAGTGTTCATGTAAACGCTTTGGTAGATTTCGGGTCGCCGACGTGTTTTCGCTCAAGGACTTTGAAGGTCCACTGAACGATGAGACATATAAGTCCCTTTAAGGCTTGAGAACTCAAAAAAGCTAGACGAAATAAAAAGTAGTATCGCCGGTCTGGGAGTCCGCGTTGGTAATTTGGAAAAAAAAGTGGAAGAGATTAAAGTCATCAACGAGAACTTAACCACGGTGAAGTCAACTCTGGGCGAGCTTCAACAAAACACTTCTTCCTTGCAAATTCAGTCAGAGTCTCTCGAAAATGTTGTCAATGACCTAAACAATCGGTTAAGAAGCAATAACCTTATCTTCAAGGGACTACCAGAGAGCGATAATGAAACTTGGAACCAAGCTGAGACAATCATACGTGAGTTCGTAACAAGAAATTTGGGGGTGAACTTGGGCGAGGTGGAAAGAGCGCATCGCATCGGTCGCAAGAGAGACGGTTTCCATAGGCCGATTATTGTGAAACTTTTGAACTTCAAAAGTAAAGAGGAGATACTTCGTAACGCTTCCAAACTGAAAAACGTAACTTCACCAAAAGTGTCGATCTCGGAAGATTATTCCGCTAAAACCAGGCTGGCGCGACAAAAACTGTGGGAGTACGCTTCTGTGTACAGAGATGAAGGAACAAGTTACAAAATTAAGTTTGATAAGCTATACGTAAACAACCAGATCTATGTGTACTCTCATTCCAGCCAAACCGTCTTTCAGCTCGGAGGGCGTTCCCCTGTTAGCGCTTCCAACGAATGACTTGCTCAAAATTCTAGTACTGACATTGCACACTTACCCCGATTATCATTTTTAATAGCCAACTTTCGAAGCATCATTTCAAAACAAGTAGAATTTGAAAACATCACCGTAAGCTGTCAACCAGATATCATATTTGGAACAGAGACTTGGTTATGCCCCGATATCAACAGTTCCGAACTTATCTTATCTAATACTTATAACATTTATAGAAAAGACCGAACGACACAAAGAGGAGGCGGCGTTCTTATCGCTGTCAGAAAGGATATTACTTGCTCGGTCATTGAAAACATTTCGCCTCTAGAAATGTTGTGGGTACGCTTGCAATTGGACTTCCGATTTCTGCTCCTCGGTGTTTGCTATCGTCCTCCGAATTCGCAGAATGATGAATTCAATGAATGTTTCTATAATTCCGTAGGCACCATAACTAAATCATTTCCTAATCACCCACTTGTCGTAGCTGGGGATTTTAATTTTCCCGGTATCAATTGGTCGAGTCTTCAACTCCATAACAACTGTCTTAACCCACTTCAGTCCAGTGCTTTTCTTCAAACTCTACGTATCAACGGTCTTCACCAGATGGTTTCTGAACCCACAAGAAATAACGCCATCTTAGACCTATTTCTAACTACACATCCTCAGTGCGTGCTGGGCGTCAACATTATTGACCAGATTAGTGACCACAAGATTATTTCTGTCAATGCAGCCTTCCCTGTTCAACGCTCCACCAAGGCTCGGAAAAATATTCACGACTATTCACGTGCAAACACTGTAGACATAAACACAACTATGGCTCAATTCGTTATAGACTACACGCGCAACCACGCATTACGCTCTGTCGGTGAAAACTGGAACTTGATCAGAAGTCAACTTCAAGAAGTGTTGTCACGTCACATTCCTACTTTTTCAATAGCATCGAATCCGGCCTCTCCATGGTTCACCCGATCTATAAAGACACTTCTGAATAAAAAGAAACGGCTCTTTCAGAATGCTACGAGGTTTAATACATCCCTACATTGGACAAATTACCACACTGTTTCAAATACGTGCAAGCATGAAGTAAAAAACGCCAAGAGGAAATTTTATGGCCAGACACTACCAGATACTTTGCGATCCGACCCCAAAAAGTTTTGGCGTGTCGTTAATCCGAAGAAAGGGGTCGCCCACCCAGATCTAACTGATGAGAACGGTGTCCCACTATCGGACGGCGATGCAGCCAACGCGTTCAATAACTTTTTTTCCAGTGTTTTTACAGATGAACGCTTTCCGTTGCCTTCTTTCGTTTTGCGTTCAGACAGCATTGAGCCTATGCCCCCCTTAATTTTTACACCTCAAGGTATTTCCCAACTCATTGAAAACCTTCGAGTCGGTATTTGTCCAGGAGAAGATCAAATTTCTTCAAAACTCTTAAAAGTAACAAAGGACTTGATATCTCCCGTTCTTTCACTATTTTTTCAGCAAAGCCTCGACTCTATCATTGTTCCTGCCGATTGGAGTCATGCCCAAATAACACCTATCCTTAAAGCTGGTCCATCATCAAATCCTACCAACTATAGACCAATATCCCTCACTAGTGTGCCTTGCAAACTCATGGAACACGTCATATACACGCACCTTCTCGCTCACCTCGATCAATTCAACTTTTTGTTTCCAAACCAACATGGCTTTAGGAAACATCACTCATGTGTCACCCAGCTATTCGAGTTCATTACTGACCTTCATGTCAACACTCATGACAATCACCAGACCGATATCATCTTCATTGACTTTGCCAAAGCTTTTGATACTGTCCCACATAGTCGCCTCCTCCTAAAGCTATCACGACTCCGCATCGAACCGTGCATTCTTAACTGGATCGCTTCCTTCCTTTCTAATAGAACTCAGTCCGTAAAAATAAACGCTTCTCTTTCTTATCAATGTTCAGTATCGTCTGGTGTACCGCAGGGGAGCGTTCTTGGGCCTCTTTTGTTTTTAATATATGTAAATGACCTTCCTTCTTCATTAACGTCCACCATTAGGCTTTTCGCTGATGATTGTGTCATATACAGAAAGATATCCGATACATCCGATCATTTAATATTGCAAAATGACCTTGACAGGATCGGAATTTGGTGCACCGACTGGCTCATG